TGATACAGTTCAGTTCAGAAAATGGGCAGAGAGATTTCAGGGGAAATCTCTGAAAGTGAGAAAACACTCGTGTTTTGGTTAAATTTCAGTCCCCTGTGTAGCATTTTTCTTTCTCTATGCCCCTATTTCAGTGGACATATAAGAAAAAATGCCATTAACATTGGGAGAGGAAGTGGCATTAAAATGTGGAGATGCCCAAATGCCAAGGCAATGGGATCTGGGTAATTCTCTAGAGATGCCCTGAGGTTTGAAACAGCTCTTTGTTGGAAGCCCCAAAAGCATTCTGCCAAAGACACCAGCTGGTCACTGATGTTTCTCATCCAGCTGTCAGGCAGCAGCCATCTCTGGTGGGCTGGAGTTTTGAGGTCTGTTTTAACCCTGCCCTTTGCTGTGTGCCAAGGGAAGAGCCAGATTAGGCATCTGGCACTTGACATCAAAGTTACAAAAATGGAATCATCCCTTTTATTAGAAATCTCTCCATTTCCTCTCTATGGTACATTTCCAAATCTTCAGAGTGGGTTTAGACAACTTCTTAATGGAAATCAAAGGCAATTGGACATTTCATTCATTGTTCATACAGAGATTGTGACATAATTTAGGAAAGGTAGGAAGTCTGCCACAGGGACAAGGCTCTGGTTGGAGCAATTAGTGCTGAGGGGTTGGTGGTTCTGTTTCCAGGATGCTCAGCTGCTTTGCCCGTTTCTGGACCAAGGGGCTCTGGGTGCTATTTTGCTGCTCTTGGCCAGAGAGGCTGGCAAGAAGCAGAAGCAGCAGAGGCAGATCCCTGTTTGCAGTGAGGCTGGTGGGTAAGGAGCTGTGTTTCTGTTGCGGCAGTGCTTGTGCAGGGGGTTCATGCCAGGAGCCCTGAAGTCGCCCAGCGCGATGCCCTGCCCGTGCTCTGGTCCTGCCTGGAGAACAAGGCGCTGCCTGTGCGGAGCGCCAACGTCCGCACCGTGGCCACCAAGCTCGCCTCTGCCCTCTGCAAGGTGATGGGCACCCAGCTGAAGAAATGTGCTGCCAGCAAGCCTCCACATGTGCGGGAAAACCTCTCCAGAATGTTGGGCTGGTGAAGGCCAGACGTTCTCCAGAAGGCTGAGGAAGCGCTGAGTTGGATGCCTCTGGGTTTGCCTTTTGAGCTGTGCCAAAAAGGACAAAATCCTAAGGAAGGGTGTGGATCTGCCCCTGCTCTCTCCATTGCCCTTCCTAGTCATGGCATGGGGGGCCTGAAGCAGCTCCAGATGGAGGACAAGATGAAGGCAATCATGGCTCAGCCTCACACAGAGGTGAGGGGGGAGCTGGGCCAATCCCTGCTGGCAGGAAGGGTCTTGTGGCAGCCCAGAGAGGCTGTGCACATTGCCAGGGAACAGCTGTGCCCTGCATGTGCCCCTGCACTGAGCTGTGCTGTGCCAGTGCCCCTGGAGCTGTAGGGCTGCTGAGCTGTGGGGCAGGCAGAGGAGCAGGAGGGTGCGTGTGCAGCTGAGCCATTCCTGGAGAGCACAGGGCTCTGGGCTCCCTGCTGTCCCAGGGCAGCCCAGAGGCCAGGCTGTGCCTGTGCCAGCTCTGGGCAAGTGGCTCAGGGTTTGCCCCGGCATCCTCAGTGTCTGCCAGCAGGAGCATGTTTCCCTGTGCAGCTGTATAGACATTTCCAGGAAATTTGTCCCATGAAATATGGAGCTTCAGCTGCTTTAGGTTTGCATGGTGGCCTCCGTTAAACTTTGTGTCTCCATTTTGCAGATCTGACTGGTTACAGTCTTACCGAGAAGTTTTCTCTGGACACTTCCGATGTTCCCTCACCCACAAAGTCCTCACCTCCCGTCCAGAAGAGCTCTCTTTCCTCCAAGCTCAGGAAGAAGCTGCTGCCTGTGTGAAGAGTGTTTGAATAATAGAATTGATGCGTTAGGCTGAATAGTTACAGCTGTACATATGTTCTGATCTTTAGATGTAGATTGAATTACTGTGTTTTGATTGTATCTTTAAAATTTGATGACATACTTTTAATTGTATATATTTTATTTTGATGATGAAAAAAAAGTAAAAAATAAATAACATTTAAATAAACCAAGAGGAGAATGTGAGACCAGGACCTGCTAGCCTAGAGATTATGGGAGTGCAGCTCACTCAGTGTGCCAGTGTCTCACCACATCCTTTCCGCATTGGGCCTCTCCTCTTCCTCTTTGGCCATGGTTTCTTTGTGTCATTTGTGCTGCTGTTTTCAACTTGTCAATGGAACAGGGCCATACATTGACCTGTTTGGGGGACAATGGATCCAAAAGATCCTGTCTAGTCAAAGGTTTTCTACCTAGGTGTGTTCTGTGCTCACCAAAGGCCTGAGCAAAGAAACAAAGAGAAGTGTGCCCAAATCCCAAAGCTTTGCTCCTTTGCAATCTCCCACAGATCTGGCTCACAGGTGTCTTCAATCACAATTTCATAGGTAAGAAGAGGTCATGTATTTCACTGGGAAAAGATGCACCGCTTTGGCAAAGTCACCTATATGTATATTTACCCAGGACAGCAGTGCAGCTGTGTTGTTTGCCCCTTGTTTGCAGAAGGATGAGTGCACTGGGAGGTCAATAACAAGTGACAAGGGTTCCTCCAATCTGCACTGCAGCCTGGGTGCCATTCAGCCCAGAGCTAGGGGATCATTTGTTCCCATGGACCAGTGCTTGCCAGTGGAATGAATTCCTGCACAGCTGGAAGAAGCAATTCTGGATTCAGCTCCAGCTCTTGGTGGGCTGCATGATCATTGACAGTGCTGCCCTTCCAGAAATTATTCTGCAATTTCCTTTCATAGTCATTTGAAACTTTGAAACTTCACATTTTAATTTGCTTTGCTTTAGGGTAAAACACTTATGGGCCTAGTGCAAGCTGTAACCTTCTGACAGCAAAGTCCTCATGGTTGCCAGCTTCTGATGTTACACAATGTCACCTGGCTGCCTGTGTTTGCTTAGCTCTGGGTCTAGTCCCGGCCTAGTAAAGCCCAGGCAGGGTGGCACGTTGCAGGGAAAACTGGTCCATGAGCTTATGGTGTTGCCATCAGCAGCAGAGTGAATGTGCCCTTTGGGGATTCCTCTGAAGACAAAATTAGGGACCTGCTCCATGCCACAATATTCTCTTAGATCTTTCTAAAATATCCTAGAAAAGGCAGTGAAACTTCACATCTCCTTGCGCAGCCACTGTTTGAATAGGGGCATTTTTGTCCCTCCTCAAAGTCATTGCTCTTAAGCACCAGAAGCATGAACAGCCACCAACAGGAATGATGCATGGTCCTGCTGCTGCTGCTGCAGAGCACTGGGTAGTGCAGACCTGGGTATTACCAACATGAGCACTTAATCAGCATTTCACGCTCCTTCAAGCTGTCCAGATCTCAGGGCTTTTTTGTTTCAAAGCAGCCACTGCACCATCTCTAGGGAAGAACAGGAAATGGGAAACAGTGACTGCCAGCCTTGCAGGGGTGTGGGGGAAAACCTGAAGTGTCTGCATCAACAGATGAATGGGAAGAGTGTAATTGCCAAAGCAAACGCTTCATTAGGATAGCAGGACCAGTTCTTTACTGCATGCTTGCATTGAGATCATTTGGGATCTCCTTTTTGTGTCTCATGCAGAAAAGGAGCTCTTAATAATACCACACTACTTAAACCAGATTGGCATGTAGCTCTGTAGTGGTTCACAATGAAGCAGACTGCCTGCTGTGCCACTGCCAGGCCTGGTTTAGACCTGCTCTGGACTGAAAACCCAGACAAACACCATCAGCACACACCTGTGGCGCACCGAGCTCTGGGACGCTGCATTCCAGCACCAGAGGGACTCAGGAGAGACCAAGTGAATCAACTACAACCCACAAAAAGGACTTTCTGAATTTGCCATCTCTTCAGCACTGTCAGAGGTTTTATTTAATATTATTCATTTTACATGCTTGTGAATACTTTACTTGTTTAATAAACTGTTTTTTTTTTTTTACTTTTCTCGAGGGAAGTCTTTTCCTGAACTAGTAGGGGTAGGGGCTGCTTGAACTTGCTTTCTAGATGGACCCCTTTTGGAGATTTCCTCCCAAAATTTCCCTAAACCAGCACAAACTGTCACAATGAAAACTGCACCAGTGGCACAATTTTTCCTGGTGGCAAATCTTGTGACAGAAGCTTGACCTTATTCTCCATGAGAGATTTTTGGGAAGAGCAGACAGGAGAATATTTCTGGAAAACTGAAACAGCTTTCCAGAAGTGAAATGAAAATGAAAGAAACAATCCAAGATGTTTTCCTCTATTTATTTCTATGCTCCCCTTTTCCATGTTGCATCCCAGTAATTCCAGATGCACCTCACCTCTAAGATCAGTGACTTAGGGATTTTTAGGTGCTCTAAAATACCATAAGCCACACACACTCATTCTCATTCTCATTCTCATTCTCATTCTCACTCTCACTCTCACTCTTCTCTCTCCCTTTCCCGCTGTCGGGCACCCTTCTCTCGGTGTCCGTTTCCCAGCGTCCCTCTCCTCTCCCCGCCTCCCTCTCCCCTGCCGGGCTGGGCCATGCCCCCGGCCCGCCCCCGGCCCCGGGCGGGGCTGCCCCGTGCCCGGCCCCGGCCGTCCCGCCGCGGTCTCGCCTCCGCCTGGCTCTGGCCGTACTGGCGGTGGCGCTGCTGGGCGGGAATCAGTGCCTGGGGCCGGGGCGGCATCGCCGCCCTTCGGCTCCGCCTGGCCCGAGCCCGGCCCCGGCCCCGGACCCGACGCAGGCTCCACTCCCGACTGCGGCCCCAGCTCCTCCCGGGGCCCGCAGAGGACACACGCGGCGCGGCCGCTCCCGCCGCCTCCGCTGCGGCTTCCCCGGCCCGAGCTCTGCCGCTCGGCAGCGCGGCCTCCAGCCCCAAGCCGCCGGGGCCCGGGGCGGGTGGGGATGCCGGGCCCGGGGCGGGTGAGGGGCGCTCGGGGGCCGTTGCTGGCCCCGGGCCGAGCGCTGACAGCCGCGTCCCGCCCGCAGGTGAGGCGCAGGAGGCCCTGCAGGAGCGGCACCGGCTGGGATCGCTGCTGGGGCGCGGCGGCTTCGGCAGCGTCTTCGCGGCCACGCGGCTCTCGGACGGTTCCCCGGTGAGCGGCGGGGCCGGCGGCGGGCGCGGGAGGAGGGGGCGGAGGAGGAGGGAGGAGGAGGAGAAGGTCGGGGCGCGGCGGGACGGGCGGCGAGCTCAGCCCGCTGCTCTCCGTCGCTCGCAGGTGGCCATCAAACGCGTGCCGCGGGATCGCATCCGGCACTGGGGCGAGCTGGTGAGTGAGAGGTGTTATGAACAAAAATTCAGTTGATTTTTTTCTGTGAGAAAAAGGTTACCACTACTGCTGGGCTGCTGCCTGTGTTATGGTAATTACGGGTTGTTGTGGTTAATAGTTGTCTTTGTATCGGTAAAAGCCCTGGCTGGGGGGAGTTAATAGCTCTTCTCTCAGCAGTAAAGGGTGCAGTACCTCCCGAACAGTGAGGAGAAAAGACTTTGGAGGGGAGGGGTATGCAAAATAATTCTAAGGACCAGCATGCTGTGTGGGACCCCTACTCCAAACGTGCAGGAAGAACCCCAAAAACAACGAGCCACCTAAGAGTTGAGAGACTGGAGTGATGTCTGGACGTGGGGAGCCAAGTGCTGAGCCTGCAGAGATGTGGAACACCTTCGGAGTCCCTCTCGCCCTGACCATGGGAGTCGTCCCCGGCACGGAGACTGAGCGGACGGGGCCGGGAAAAGTAACAACGAAGGGATCATCACGCCCTAAACGCTCCCACGAGGACCTTATCCCCAGCTCTACTCCTAGTGGACAAAGCAGCGCATATCCTCCTCTTGTGGGTCGCCCTGGGAGAGAGAACGGGAGACTGCAGCCCCACCGAGCTGCCCAATCCTGAGCTGATCACTTTTAATGAAGGTATTAAGAAGGAGAAGAAGTCTCCTGGCCTTGTTTATTTCAAGAGGGGCCAGCAGCAACAGCCGGGCCGTGCCGGGCGGCGAGGAGCCGGGGCCCGGCAGGGTGGGAGCCGCCGGGAGCCCTGCGGGGAGAGCGGGCGTGGGCTGAGCGGGGCGTGCAGAGCATCCCGGGCTGGCTGAGGGCTCCCAGAGCCCCGGCACGGCCTCGGCCCCACTGACGGCACCGCGCTCCTCCCGCAGCCCGACGGCACCAGCGCCCCGCTGGAGATCGTGCTGCTGGCCAAGGTGTCCCGTGGCTGTGGCGGTGTCATTCAGCTCCTGGAGTGGCTTGAGCTCCCCGACAGCTTCCTGCTGGTGCTGGAGCGTCCGGAGTGGTGCCAGGAGCTCCCGGGTTTCCTGGCGGAGCGGGGGTTCCTGCCCGAGGAGGAGGCGCGGGGGCTGTTCCGCCAGGTGCTGGAGGCCGTGCGGCACTGCACCAGCTGCGGGGTCCTGCACCGGGACATCAAGCCCGAGAATGTCCTGCTCGACCTGGCCAGTGGGCAGCTGAAACTGATTGACTTTGGCTGTGGCGCCTTCCTCCAAGACACAGCCTACACCCAGTTTGCAGGTGAGCCCTCGCAGGGGGTGTTCCTGGGCATCTCGTGGCCCAGCCTGGGTGCAGCACTGAGGCTTCCCCCTATTGCAGCCGGGATGGGATTGGTGCTGGAGCCGAGTTGTTCCGGGTGGGGTGTGAGGGCGGCCAGCTCCCAGCCCTGCTGACAGCCTTCAGCACCCACTGTGGCCTGGGCTGGGGCTGGAGCTGGGGCAGCCAGCCCGACACAAACCCCCATGGGGGTAGCAGAGATGGGAGTCTGACCCCATGCCCCGGATGGTTTGGTGTGCAGGCGAGGAAGGGCTGGACTGCTCCGCTCTCCTTGTTTGCCTTGGCTTATTAACATTTTTGGGGGCCATGCAGGTGGGGAGGAGAGTGGGTTTTCTGCACTACTGGGTGGGTTTTTCCTCTGTGTGTCATGGTTGGGCCTTCCTAGGGTCTCTTCTGCCCTCTTCCAGGACCAGTGGCTTCTTTTCCAGCCCCGAGTTTGTGCACAAGTCCCAGGTGCTGGCGAGAGGGCAGCGCTCACCCCATGTGCCTCTGGGGCAGCCCCCACATGCCCAGGGATGCTGGGGCCAGGCTCTGGGAGCAGCAGCATCCCCGTGCTTATCTCTGTGTTCCACAGGAACCCTGTCCTATAGCCCACCAGAATGGATCCAGCACCAACGCTACCACGGCGAGGCAGCCACGATCTGGTCCCTGGGCCTCCTGCTGTGCCACCTGGTCATGGGGAAGCACCCAGTGATTTTAGTGCACTGCAGGCTTGTGAGCGTTTCTCTTAGGACTTTATTTTCACTCCAAGGGATTCCTAGTTGGGTGAGCAGCACTCAGCTGGGAGGAAATGAACTCAGGTTAACAAACCTGTTCCCCTGCACACAGACTATCAGAATAACCTGAAAGTGCTCTACAGTCAGAAAATGGCACCTGGATCCAGCAGGAAGAAGAGCAGATATATTCCCTCAAAGCCAGACTGGGTCTTGGATGCACCAGAGATGTTCAATGACTACTGTAAGTAGGCTGCAGGGTTGAGTGCTGGGCATCCAGAACATTCTGCATTGGATTGCTGTTCCTAGGACAGTGTGACTGGGCTGTCTGTATTATTTTGTGTACCCAGGCTAGCACAGACCACTTCTGGAGTGTCCCTGTGTGGCCTTACAGGCACAGTGGTCTAGGGCACTGTGTTGGTGCCTTGGAGCAGGGTACCTGGCCCCAGCAGCTGGGCACAGTGACACTCAGAAGGCTGCCCCTCACCTGTATGTGTGTGTGTGCACATGTGCACCCGCACCTGCTGCATCAGCACAGGTGAAGGGCAGGGCTCTCTAGCCAAGCATGGCATGACCTGCATTGCTCTTTCAAATTGTAGATCTGAATCTCGTAGACTGGAGCTCCCAGAACTTCCTGGCAGTGGCTCTGGATGACTCTGTTTATCTGTGGAATCACGCTACTAGGGAGATTATCCCCGTGCTGCAGATGGAGCATCCAGATGTTTACATTTCCTCTGCGTCATTGATTAAAGATGGAGACTACCTTGCTGTTGGCACAAGTAGTGCTGAGGTTCAGGTGAATGCAGGACTAAAACTAGAGGTGTTTTCTAGGGATTGACAGAACTGTGGGGCCTGGGGACAAAACCTTGGCTGGCAGGGGAAGGATGCCATGCACCTGACTTGTCTTCCCTGGTGTGGGGTGGAACTGCCCAGTGTGCAAGGCAGGGTTTGGTTTGGGGGTTTTCTGATAAGCAGCATTACCTTCTGTGCTATAGTCATGAGATGCACATTTTCTCTGTTCCCTTACTGAGAAAGCTGAATGCCAGAGCCTGTGCAGTGAGGTTCCTAGGGCATAGAAAGAGGATTGGGTTTCTTCTGAAGAACTTTTTGCTTTGCCTCTCCAGCTATTGTTGCATTTATGTTGTTGTATATCATATTTCTAGGGTCTCATACCTTCTGGGTGGTTTTCTCACAGCAGCTCTTCACAGCACTGGCGCTGTTGCTTCTCAGTCAGGACTCCTCTCCAGCTCTTCCTGAATGCCCCACCCCCTTTTATCCCAGCTACCTCCACGGGCTACAGCTGCTACCCAATCAAGGACATTGCAGCTGCAGCCCAGTTACAATAACTAGAATCAGGGCAGGGTCACTTATACAATACAGAGATCTTTTACTGCAATACATATATTTACTAAGGCCCCTATAAGCTATGGGACATTGAGCAGCAGAAACGTCTCCGAACCATGACCAGCCATTGTGGCTGTGTGGGAACCCTCAGCTGGAACAGCTACATCCTCTCCAGGTAAAGCAGTGGGTCAAGGGCAGTTTCCAGTTGTTGCAAACTCCTATCCCTCAATCTACGTGTGGCATGGGTTAGGGATGGCAGAGAGAAATTTGTCTTGGCTTGGGATTCTTACTCAGCCTTATCTGTTGGGGCTGTGAGGAGAAGGCCTCTTTCCTGTGTTGCAATTTGTGCTGAAGCTGTAAAGAGCTTGTGTGGGTGTTTCACTCGCACCAACAGACCTGTGTTGCTGGTAACACTGGTTGAAACCCAGTGGTAGCTATAGCAGTCTTGCAACAACAAAAATGGATTTGGGTGAAAATGTGCAGCCTGACCCTGCAAGCCTTCTCTTCTCTCTGCAGTGATGCACAGACTGGGCACATCCATCACCACGATGTCCAAGTGGCTGAGCATCACGTGGCCACTCTTGCTGGCCACACACACAAGGTGTGCGGACTCAAATGGTCTCTGGATGGCCACTACCTGGCCAGTGGTGGCATTGACAGTCTGGCGAACGTCTGGCCATGCACCCAATGTGGGGATGGAGACTTTGCTCCTGTGCAGACCTTCACTCAGCACCAGGGTGCTGTCAAGGTGAGCACAGAGCTGCCACGGGCAGGTATGTGTGTGCAAGGCAGGCATGCAGCACTGGCTGGGTGCAGGTTGCCTCTTGTATGTTTTAAAATGAACTCTCCTCTCTCAGGCGTGGCGTGGTGCCCATGGCAGATGAATGTTCTAGCCACTGGAGGTGGCACTAATGACAGACATATCTGCATCTGGAACGTGTGTTCTGGCGCCTGCCTCAGTGCTGTTGATACCCGTTCCCAGGTGAGAGATGAACATCAGCTTGGAGACAAACACCTTCTGGCAGCACACCTACACAGAGCTGCTGGCTCCTCAGGCCCAGAGGCACAGGGAAGGAGGGGGACCATGCTTACCTCCGAGTGGTGAGCATCAGCACAAGGACCTTGTCTCACCTGTGTTACTGCCTCTTTGCAGGTGACTATCCTATGGTCCACAACCTACAAGGAGCTCATTTCAGGCCATGGCTTTGCACAGAATCAGTTGATTATATGGAAGTATCCAAGAATGAACAAGGTTGCAGAGCTGCCAGGTAGGTGGACAGGGCCTGGGTGGGGGGGTGTTAGAGGTTGAAGACAGCTGCACTCCTTGGTTTGAGCCTGCAGCATCACTGATACAGGACAGTATCCGGGGCCATGCTGCTAGGAGTAAAGCATACCCAGGGGGCTGTGGAAGAGATACCATTGATCCAAGCGTATGCTTGGGGTCTGAAATCATGCTGCCACAGCCACTGGGGAGACAGCTATGCAAGCTGGCAGGGCTCATGGGAGCATACAGGAGTAAATGTGCATGTGCTGATCAGCTCAGCCCTGATTGCACATTCCTTCTCCTCCTCAGCTCATACTGATAGAATCTTGAACCTGACCATGAGCCCTGATGGTACAGCAGTGGCCTCAGCAGCTGCTGATGAAACAGTGCAGGTCTGGAGCTGTTTTGAGATGGATCCCATAAAGAAGAAGGAGAAACAGAAGGCAAACAGTGCCAAAAGCAGTATTCCTCACCAGAGCATCCACTGAGAGCACGGGATTGTTGTGGGGAGGGGGATATTTTGTTTACATGCTGTACAGTATTTTAAATGTTAATGAACTGCTTAACTTGACTTTTTCTTAATGGAGTCTGATGGAAGAAAAAGCCATGGCTCTTAAACCCAAGTCCTTCTCCCTGAGGCTGGGGATCTGGGCAAGGAGTGGAGACCTAGGTCTTAAGGGCAAGTTTGCAGGCCCCTGAGCTTAGCATAGCCTAGCAGAAGGATGCTGTGCAAGGGCTGTACTTCTGTTTCTGTCCCAACTAAGATAGATATGTCACCTGCCCCATCTAGATGCTGACTACAAGCACAGCAGCTCCACCACAGGCTCAACTGAAAGCACAGCATGGCTGTGGCCTCAGTTTGTGTTGTCCTGGCATTTCTCACAAGCCCAGGGACACCTTCCTATGGCTCTGCAGGCAGATCTCAGTTTGTCTTGTTAGCTACAGGCAGCCATCACTGCCTGCCTATGGTGCTGGAGTAGAATAGCTGTTGGAAAAAAAAGGAGGGAGAGAAATATAGAGCAACAGCTGTAATCACCCCAAAGGCTGGAAAGGGGCTGGCTCTGGCATGAAGCCTGATGCAAAACAAAAGGTTAGCTTACACTGCCACGCCCAGCCTGGATGTCATGCAAGAGCCATGCAAAGCACCAGCAACCCTGTGCTCAGCCTTCAGTCACGTATTCTTCCAAAAACTCTGATCTCCCTTCCCCTCCTGCTGAAAGGAGGCCCTGGTGCCTCACCGAGGCTTCATGCAGGGGAGCAGGCACCAGGGCTCAGCTGACATTTATTGGAGCTTGACTCCCCTACACTTGGAAAAATGCCTTTTTTCCAGGCTGAACTGTGCTGGAGCAAGTTGCAGGAAATATATTGGAGCCCTCACCTGACCAACAACCAGCTCAGCCATGCTGCTTCGCACGATGGAGCCGCAGTGTCTGAGGTTGTGGGGCTGCACCAGACCCATCACGCCTGTCCTTCAGCTGCACCAGCATGGCCAGGGGCTGCTGGGGACGCTGCACAGCTGACAAGCACCTTGGCCTGTACAAAGCAGCTCCACCAAGCCTGTGCCTCCCATCGGTCCTCAGTGATTAGCTGAGGGTGGATTATTAACTGTTTTCACCTTTCCCTCAGCACAGTGCCACACTGTGCCGAGCACCAGCTCTGCCTCCTGAGCCTTACAGCAGCTGGAACCTTCCAAGGTTCCGACTTGTGCTCTGCCAAGGCCAGTGAGTGTGTAACCACACCCACCAGAGCACCCCCCCCCCACACACACATAAAGCTGATATGGGGGGCACAGTCTCAAAAAACAGCCACTGAGCCAGCACCTTCCCAGCAGTGCTGCTGGTGCATCCCCATTTGGCCACTTGGGAAAGATCAGGAGGTCCAAGGATGTGTCTCCCTCAGACACAAATCCTCAGGCCACAGCTGTCTCTAAAGGGGAGGCAGGCAGGAACCCAGATGCAAGGCTGGGCTCTCACACAGAGCTGTGCTGTTGTAGGAGCCCTGTCCCACACCCCTGCACTTGGTGCTGGGAGTTAGCACAGACTTGCTTTGTGGGACCACAGCTGATTAGGCCTTCCCTGGTCCCTGACCTGGAAGGAAAGCTTTTTGGCATATAAAGTTCCTGTCATTTTTTCAGTCCCATGTAAGAGCAGCTCAGCTTTCTCACAGACTCTTTCTTTCTCCTTAGCACATGCCCCACACCCCGATGCTGTGCATTACACAGCCCTTAGAGGACCTCTGAGCGTTACCAGAGGGTAATGATACTGCAGGGTCTTTGACCCCATGCTGGTCTCTTACAGTCCTGGAGTGAGGAGGAGCAGAGGAAGGAAGTGGGCACT